GTAGACCTGATTGTAGACCTGATTGTAGACCTGACTGTAGACCTGATTGTGGACCTGACTGTAGACCTGATTGTGGACCTGGCTGTGGACCTGATTGTGGACCTGACTGTAGACCTGACTGTAGACCTGATTGTGGACCTGGCTGTGGACCTGATTGTGGACCTGACTGTAGACCTGACTGTAGACCTGATTGTGGACCTGACTGTAGACCTGACTGTAGACCTGATTGTGGACCTGTCTGTAGACCTGATTGTGGACCTGGCTGTGGACCTGACTGTAGACCTGGCTGTGGACCTGATTCTGGGGGCGGTGAGTCATCCTGTAACGAGGACCTTTAGTCCCTAAAGTCCATTAAAGTGTCTGAGAGCTCATTAAGAAGCAATAAATGTCAAATATTTTACTGTGAGTCACCGAACAGAACCAGACATGACTCAGAACCAGAGAGACTCAGAACCAGAACCATGGAGGCTCAGAACCAGAGAACATTCAACGCTGGAAAACATAATTTAGGACCGGAATTCATACAGGAGTACTGGGCCAGAGGTGGATCAGAACCATGTGTGGTCTTTGTGTTCTGCTGTCACTCAGAACTTTTCCTGCTCCTGAGAACAAAGAGGACGGGTCTGGGTCTTTGTTCTGTTCAGCTTGAGTTTCCTGTGAGGACAGCAGAAAATGGAGACGTTCTCCTCACAGCCTTCAGAGGAGGCAGATAACAGTCGGGTTGTTGATCACTCAGAAAAACCTCACCTTCTTTCTGTCGAGCTGTCATGAAAACCTAAATCTAAAGTTCAGAGACAGAAACATCCAGACCTTTTTTCTTTAATTTCTGTTAATCTGAAGTTTCTACATTTTATTATTTGAACCATTCACAGCATTGAGGTCAGTTTTTCTTCCGTACGTTTTTCAGCATCTAACTCGTCCACAATTTTTGTGCCATTTCACCAAATCATATATGAAAACCTTCAGCTCATTTATGTGAGAGCTGCTATGACTTTTGGTGCTTCAGCTATTTAAACTTTTTCAGCTATTTCACTTTTTCTGACACTTTTTTACCAGTGAAAATAAATGGAGCCATTTTTAAACATCCTTGAAATCCTTTAAAATGTTTCTAAATCTTTACAGCACCTTCCACAGTTTGTTCTGGTTCTTTTTCACTTTCTTGTGCTAATTTTAGCTTTTTCTGCTATTTCAGCTAAACTTCTGCTTCTTTCTGCTTTTTTCTCTTTTTTCTGCTCCTTTGTGCTATTTATGCTTCTCACAGATGCGTTTTTCTATATTAAGCAATTTCTACAATTTTAGCTAAAGTTCAGCTGTTATTAGCTAAAGTTAGGTTTTTTAAGCTACATACACATTTTTTAGAGTTATTAAAATTTATTTCTGCTAAGTTCAGCAAACTTTCTCCTTATGCATCCTTATGCTAATTAAATAATTTCCAGCTACATTAGCTGTTACTGAAAATTTCAGCTGTTTTACTACAAATTGACACTTTTTTGCATTTTTTTCTGCTAATTTAAAAWTTTTTTACACAACTTTCACTACCTGGGTGTTAATTACAACTTGTGGCTGCTAGCTTTAGCTTATTTTATGCTAATTTTAGCTTTTTTATACTTTTTCAGCTTTAGATCTGCTTTTTCTGCTTTTCTTCTATTGTTTTCTACTTTGTGTTTTTTCTGCTCCTTTGTGCTATTTATGCTTCTCACAGATGCGTTTTTCTATATTAAGCTATTTCTACAATTTTAGCTAAAGTTCAGATGTTGTTAGCTAAAGTTAGGCTTTTTAAGCTAAATACGCATTTTTTAGAGTTATTAAAATTTATTTCTGCCAAGTTCAGCAAACTGTCTCCTTATGCATCCTTATGCTAATTAAATAATTTCCAGCTACATTTTAGCTGTTACTGAAAATTTCAGCTGTTTTACTACAAATTGACACTTTTTTGCATTTTTTTCTGCTAATTTAAAAATTTTTACACAACTTTCACTATCTGGGTGTTGATTACAACTTGTGGCTGCTAGCTTTAGCTTATTTTATGCTAATTTTAGCTTTTTTATACACTTTTTCAGCTTTAGATCTGCTTTTTCTGCTATTCTATTTCTATTTTGTGTTTTTTTCTGCTAATTTGTGCTATTTATGCTTCTTAGATGTTTTCAGCTATATTAGCTTTTAGCTGTTGTTTTCAACTAGATTTGTCCTTTTTTAAATGTTTTTCTGCAAAGTTAGGCTTTTTTGCTTCTTTCAAAGTGAACTCTAACACTTTTGCTATTAAATATTTTCAGCTCAATTTCAGCAGCTTTCAGCTGAAGTTTTCAGCATGAAGCTAGCGTTTTGGCAGGAAACAGTTTCTCCTGTTTAATCTCATCTCTCTGAAAGCAGCCATGTTTGTGTAAAAGTGAGTTCAGGTGAAAGAGAGGACAAACGGATTCCTCCTTCCTCCCGCTCGGAGACGCCTCGTGGGATTTCTAACAGCTTATTAAAGGTGTTATGAAAACAGCAACAGTTCAGTGTTACACTCCAACACAGAGCTGAAACACACAGCCGAGAAAAAACAACACAAAATCTCACAGTTTGGTTGGTTTGTGGCCTGAAGAGGCGGCAGCGCTACCGTCACTTCCCACGAACAGAAACCCAGACCAGACCCTGCAGAGAGATCTGGGTCAGATGGTCTCTCCCTGAGCCGCCTCACTGAGCCCGAGCCCCTGCAGCAGAGGTTCTCAAACTAGTGGTCCCAGGACCCCCAGTGGTCCGCGAGAGGTATCTCGGGGGTCCTCAAAAAATGTCACTAAATTGTTAATTTGGTTTTTATTTTTTAAAATACATCAAAAACAATGAACTAATAAAACAAACATAATAAACTAAATAAAAACAGATATTCCCATGGCTTTTAGGGGTTAAAATGACAATAAATTATCTTTTAAAACATCATGGGGTTAATGAGGGGGTCCCTGGAGTTTTTTTACCTTTTACCCAGTGTCTGTGACATCTTTACAATACAAAAAAATCAAAGAAAACATCTTTGTATTTATCTATTTCATCACATAATTGGTATATTTTCTTTTGATCTTGGCTCAAAGTGAAACAGGAAGTGACATCAAAGGGGAACTCTTTTTGATCATTTATTTAAACATTATTTAAACTCTGACTCTTCATCTCTTATAAACTCAAAATAATCTGAAGAAACATCAGATTATCTACGGTCTGTTAGCCGTTAGCTCTGTTCACATGCAGATATTCCCCCGATGACATCACTTCCTGTTACTTCACATGCAAATATCTCAACAACCGTTCATGTCAGCGGCATGAAAAAAATTTTCGCAACATGTTATCAATGTTATTTTTCCAAAAACCATTCATGTTTTTTTTAAATAAGTCAGAAGGTTTAACGCTGGGGGGGTACGGGAGCTTGGCGTGTACGCTGCTGTCTCACAATTCTGAGGCTGCAGGTTCGCTTCCTGTGGCGACACCTCCAACAACAAATCACACAGCTCACTGGTCACTTCAGAGCTCAAACTGAAACAAGTTGCTGCTCGAGATCAGAACCACCTGATGAACAGAACCTCAGCAGAACCTCAGCAGAACCTCAGCAGGTGGGAGGAAAAGTAAACACTAAACAAACAAACAATAAATAATTAGCTGCAGCTTCCTGTTTGGATCCATTTTATCACGCACGCGCATTGCCTGTTGTGGAGGCGCGTGCACGGCCACACGCACACCTTTCTGATGTGCAGAGCCGCGCGCAGACAGCAGCTGAGCTCGTGCAGCCTCCCCGAACCGCTCCGTCCTCCTGCAGCTGTTTGTGGGTGACGGCACTGCGGAGGACCCGGCCCTCCTCCTCCTCCTCCTCCTCCTCCTCACCATCATCATCATCATCATCACCCAGCCAGGCGACATGGCGCTGAAGAGGAGGGGATCCGGATCCACCTGGGCCGCGCGGCAGCAGACCCGGGACCAGGTGTGGACGGAGGAGAGACCCAAACCCAGAAACGAGCCCCGCCTCGAACCAGAACCTCCAGCAGGTTCTGATCCGCAGCCTCTTCACCCACACCTTCATCCTAAAACCGTTTGAGCTGCGGCGCCAGAACCGAACCGAACCCCCCCTCCTCCCGGTTCTGCCCGGGGTTCTACTGACCTGCTGCTGCGCCTGCAGGGGCCGAGGTGGCGGACTGGGATCCCGGTGATTCTGGAGCCGAACCTCCGCCTGCTGCCCGTCCTCTACCCGCCTCTCTCTCCTCCTCCTGCGGACCGGATTACCTCACAGCCTCCTCCCTCTGCTCCTCCGAGGATGGAGAGAGAGTCGGAACCGCTCAGAATCACATGATCCATCGGAACCAGGAGACGTTTCACAGCTGAAACTAAGTTTGAAACAAAAAAAACAACCTGATGATGTAAATAAAATATTTTATAAAACTTTTTTGAATAATGAAAACAAAATATGATTAAAAATATAAAAAGGAACATTTTAGAATCAAAATCAGTGGAACAATTTCAAAATAAAGTTCATTAACAGAAACTTTAACTCAGAACAGATGCTTATAATCTGTTTTAATCTCTGTCCAGATTAGATGGTTGTGATCTTCATTAAAAACAGGTTCTGGACTCAGGAAAACTTCCACACATCGCCTGTAAACAGGTCCGGGGATCAAATCCCGGACGAGCCCCCAAAGTTACGACCTGTCTAGTGGTGGCCAAATCACAACATGAAAGATCCATCCTCGAATGGAGTTTACTTACATGGTATTTGTGAAAAATGATTGTTACAACATTAGGAGTTGAGTAACTTCAGAGTGAGCTAATGCCAAAAATAAATAAACAAACAAACAAACAAACAAACAAACGGGGATCTATCTGATTTAATCAAAACTTACCTATTAAAAGAAATAAATCAAATGACAAAAACTTACCTCCCTAACTAAAATAAACAGGAGAAAACCAGGTACGAAAATAAACGGCAGCTCATTCCTACAAACTCCTTGGGTCTGGGCTGTTTATGTGCTGAGGAACACACAAACACAGAAAACACAAGACACAGAAAAAAAGGAACACACAAACACACAATGTGGCTGGTTGGGATGAGCAGAGGATGGATGACAGGAAGTCTTTGTCAGCATCTTTTAACAGCTCCGGCAGGCCACCAGTCAGTCGTCTTCAATCTTCCATCCAATCAGGGATGAGCACCTGTACACTTAAATTAACACAATTAGCGACGCCAGTCGTAACAGCTGCTTAAAGCTCTATCAGACAAAAAAGAATCCAGATGAACACCATCCAGAACCACTGCCGTCTTCTCTTTAAAGTGGACCGAGACAAAGAGAACTGTTCTGTCCTCCATCAGCCTATCAGTTCAACGACCTGCCTCTCTGATGGTATGGGGGTGCATTAGTGCATAGGCAGTTTACTCATCTGGAGAGGCACCATCAACGCGGAAACAATACAA